TGATCCCTGAGGGTCCCTTTGAGCTCAGGAGATTCTGGGATTCTACCAGTGGCTGTTCACTTGGTCTGTTATTCTGGAATTCAAACAACCAGACTTTAAAACCTGACACAAGAGACCCAGCAGCATTTAAAATCAAAATGCTCCTTGAAATTATTGAAGATTAAATCTGTTCTTCAGCACCCCTGTACTGGGATGTTCTCAAAAGCATTTGTCTATAACACATATATGTTACATAACACATAACACAATATGGAGATTTACTCCTAACTTTCCTGTTAATTTTTCTGGTAAATCTACCCAGACAGAGAGGAAAATGTCCTAGATCTTCTCTTTTCCATAGCAGCAGGAGAGCTATTCCTGACAGCTCCTGAACACATTAGTGAAGGCTTTGCCTTGTAGGACAGTTGCCTTTTGTTTCAATAGTCAGGAGTGGGAACATCCCCTCTTCCCTTATGTGGTTTGAAACCATAGAGGAAAACTTGATTTTAATATCTGGGAAACAAATCGCTGCTAAATTCAATCCAGTGCAGAGCCAACAGCACAGTGGATAAAGGAAAGCCAACAGATTCTCCTGGTTCAATGTGTGCAGAGGTGCTGGGCTGCCCTGCTCTGCTCATTAGCTTTGGGACCAGCCTGTCCATGGGGATTCTTCTTTTGATTTCAGCTTCCCTTACTCCCAATGGTAATGTCAGGTGGGTGAAGCGTTGCTGTTATTATGCTGATTATTCTACCCTATTATTCCAGGGTAGAAGAGAGCAAAGAACTGCTGCATTTTTGTAAGGCCAGGATGAAGACCTGGCTGAAATGTTTTGCTGTAGTGTTCCTTGCAGACCACCACTCACACCTCGATTCCCTCCATCCTTCCCCCCGCCACAGGGTCCTTGCAGCTTCTGCAGGGCTCTTGTGCCTCTCTTCTCTCAGATCTGTCCTCAGGAGCCTCCACTTTGCCGTGTCCCTCTGTGGAAGTGCAAACAGTCTGTATCACTCCACTTTCTTATTTAACAGTGCGAGTGCTGCTAACTTGTGGCAAAAGGAGATCATAACCCACTATGATGCCAATGTGATACTGTCCTCCAGATCCCATGAAATGTAGGCATGTCCCAAGGCAGTTCTTTGAGACAGCAGCACAGTTACTGCTGGCCACCTGTTCACGAGGTTGCACACTGAAAAACAGGCCCCTGAGGCAGCTGATGGAAAGCCTTTGCCACAGCTCTTGCTCTTCCTGGATCCAGCAGAGCCCAAACCTGATTTTCAGAGTCTATCAAAGGCATCTCTGGCTGTTCAAATCCTTAAGCTTGAACCACATTTCACCTGAAGACAGATGGGCAGGAGAGTTTTGGCCTATCCTGCTTTAAAAACCTTGGTTTTGATTGTGGCTGTCCTCAGGAACAGAACTGCTGACCACCATGGCAAATATATTTGGTTTTAAGTACGTCCATAATTGCAGCGTTGCATCATCTCCATAGTTATTTTAAAAATTCTCTCTGTGACTCTACATTATTAATAAGGTGTCTGTGGAATGGCCTAGAAAAAATGTCCCTGTGTCTATCTGGACCGCACCTCCATTGTTCCCTCCGTGACTGGAGCAGAGCAAACTGATGGCACTTTGCGACTCCTCATGGTGCACTTGGCACTGCTGTCACCAGCTGGCACGGTGAGACATCCACAGGGTGTCAGGAGAGGAGAATCTCTCTTTGGAAGGGCAAACCAGATAAAATGACCCAGGAAATGGAGAGAGTGCTGGGCACTATTTGGAAGCCCACTGTGATGAGCGGGAATCTCAAGCCTGTGAGCATAAATATGCTCTAGGATGAATTCAAATGGTTGCTTGCTGTAACTCTACAAATCAACTCTACAATAAACTCTACAAATAAACTATTACTTCACTGGGAGATGGATTATATGTGAATTTTAAAAGGCACTCACATGCTACCGGTTAGAATAGGGAAATATTGTGTGATGCTTTCCTTCTAGAGAATTCCAAGTGCTTCAGTAAGGTTAGTATTGCCATTTTAAAGGTAAGAAAAGAGAAACACGTAAGAGAGTGCCATGATCCTTCAGCTACACAACAGCAGGGCCAGGAGAAGAGCCACCCTGAATGGCAAAAAGAGAATTTAAATAATTGCAGTACATTTGCATAACATTCATAAAATAGATTACTCAGCAAGGGTAAAAGGAAAGAAACCTGGATTTGAAGATGTGGCTTAGTGTGCCATTCAAGCTGTGGGTTTGGATCACAAGACTCTCTGGTACCTAAGGGAACTTATTTGTGTGGACTGACCCACATAAACCCTATTTTCACATGAGTTCCTTAGGCACATCCTCCCAGACTGCTGCTAGCCTCTGCTGGCTGCACACATGGGGGCTTGTGGCACTCTCACATCTCCTCATCACAGAGCAGCCCAGCAGTGCCACTCCAGAGGCAGAGGAAGCCTCACAGAGACAGAGGGATGAGATCAGGTGTGGTTCACTGAATTTATTGCAAGTGGCAAGACAAAGGTGGCCTGCACTCCCCAGGCAGTAGCCTCAGGATGCAATTGCCTGAAAGGCACAGTCAGCTGTTAAATGCCAGGGGAGGGACTGCTGTGTTCAGGGCTGTTGGGATAGTATTTTGGAACACATCATGTCAAAGGCTAATTAAAAAAAGCAATGAGGGTATATTATCCTCACCTAATGGCAGCAGCCTGTGTTGTTCTGGTGCTCTGTCACCTTGAAATGCTTCCTGTAGGGGTTTATGGTCCTTCATGTCACACATCTTTCTTTCCTATTCAGGGCAAGGCCCTCAGGCCTGATCTCCTGTTTGTGGGCACCAAATTTGACTTATGGCTTTATGGCACATAAGTTGTACCTTTTTCAACCAAAGCAAAATATTATTTTTCTGGATGGTAACCTGGAGCACAGAGATCCTTGGGAAAGAGTAAAAGATTCCTTTTCCTCATAGCCATAGAAAGATGAGCTGTGTCAGATATTCAGAGTTTCTATACCCACTGATAGGGAAGAAGCAGAAGAACAAGAAGACCACCTGAGCAGGAACAGTTACATTAAAATACTTCATGGTGCTTGAGAGCCTGAGTATCCTTGAGTCCACAAAAATGTCTGTGCAAAAGAAAAATTTGCCATTGGATTTCAACCCTCTGTGATTTTTACCAAGGTTTACATTAAAATTATCATATATAACCTGTCTAAATTTGAGGGTATTGTTACTCTTTAAAATAATTTTATGGAATTTTGTAATTTGGATGCCATTCAACTCTTGACTCTGTTCTGAAACCAAGGAAGAATTTGCCCTATCCACCTTAGCCTCATAATGGATAGACAGAACCTATTAAGAGTTATCACCTCAAAGGCAGATCAAAGTCTACTTCCTTTGATATTGACTTTCTTTAAAAGGACCTAAATATAACCCACTAGCTAAATAATTCAATTTTCGGAGGGAGGAAAGGAACTGAGAGCATGTTTACATGACAGACCACAACAACTCCGCAATTTTCTAATTTCTGGGAGAAGAAAAAACCCTTCTCACATTTTCTGTTTAAGGAAATGTTGCTCTTAGACTAAATGAGCCCAAACCTATCAGCCATCCAAATGGACTCTTCACTGACAGAAGTGGCAAACAGTTGCCTGCATTGCTGACAGGAAGAGCTCAGCTCAAGGAACAGAAACAATGAGCTGATCTGAATAAATGCTCCATTTTCAGATGTTCCCCAGTGTTGTGCAGAGGGCTTTTTACCTTCTCTACTTGAGCCAGTCTGATTATCAAAGGTGTTGAAAGGCAGGGCTTTCAAACAGAGTCATGCTGCTCTCTTCCTGTTCTTTCCTTAAATATCTAAGTTTTGGAGTGTGCACTGATGTGATAAAACACACGCTCAGTGCTCTCAGGGCTTCCAGAGCAGAGTGGCAAGGCTGCACCTCTGTGTTTCACGGGAACGCCAGGAATGAGGGACTGGGACAGATCCTGCCATGGGACTGAGCAGTTCCTGAGGCCAGCCCATCCACAAGGTTCCCCCACAGCTGCTCAGAGCTCTCCTGGCCGCTGTTCTCTGCGCTGCCTGCTGTCCTCATGAAACATCCATGTTTTCTACCATGCTAAGCATTGCTTGATGGGTTTTTGGGCTTTTGCAATTTCATTTTAACATGGGAAACCATTTTAACTGGAAACTACAGATCCTTTTGGATATGGAATGTGGTGCTGTGAGAGATTAGCTTTCAGTGGTGGCCCTAAAAAAGACTAGCTTGTATATGTAAAACACATTCCTTGGTCTTTGCATTTTAAGTACTGTGGAATCAAAAAAAACACTGAGAAAATTTCACTACTGTGTTTTGCAGAATGAGGGCATGAAAGCTTTAACCTCAGCCCCATTTCTTCAGGTATTTACATTTGTTATTATTAATGCTGCTTTAGTTCAGAATTTGGATATATTTTGTACTGCTGCAATAACTGAAAACATGGAAAATGGAAGTGGGATTGTCTGTCAGTCAATTGGAAGAGCGTTTATGAATGCCCTGACATCTCAAAGCAGAACACACCCATTCTTCCTTGTGGCACAGAAGTACAGCTGCTGTAGGAGAAGGATTTTGTGTGGTGGGAATCTCTCACAGCGAGACCGATCGCTGTGCCTGGGTCCCACCAGGCACAGACATCAGGCCAGTATCCCCGTGGGGATGCCTGCACCCCAGAAGTGGAATTCGACCTCTGCTCAGCATTCTGGCTCTCACCGCTGCCTTCAACAAGAGCCAATCCCCTTTTGTTCCATCCCTAAGGACATTAATAAGGCTGCCGTCCTGTGCACACGAACGGGAAGCGTTTTGGAGAGGATTTCTGCGAGCAGGGCAGTGAAATCCTGCGGTGGGGGCTGGCGCACATGGAAGCGAAGCCCAGGCAGGTGCCGTGCGGGCGGGAGCAGCAGCGTCCAGGTGCACACAGTCCTGCCCCGGCCCGCAGCCGTGCCCGTGCCACCCCCGGTACCCGCAGGGCCGGCAGCAGGGCCGGGAGCACGTACCCACTTTGAGCTCCTTGCCGAAGACCGTCCGCTCGCCCAGGGCCGAGCAGTTCCAGCGCCCGTTGCGGAACTGGAACTGGCACTCGTTGATGCCCATCTGGGATCCTTCCCCGATGACAATGATCGCGTCGGGCCTGCTCTGGCAGATCGCCCGCTGCCGGGGGGCGAGCCCCGGGATCTTGTTACAGATGATGCTGGCTCCCAGGGCCACCACAGAGGAGAAACCCCTGCAACGAGAAGACACCGGCGGTGGCTGAGGGGAGGCAGGTCCCGGAGGCAGAGCAGCACTCGCTGCCTTCCCGTGCGGCGGCTCCGGCGCTGGCAGGTGCCCCGGATAGCGCCCGCCTTTCCCCTGTCGCTTCCCTCTCCCTGTCCCTCTCTCCAAGCCGAGGCTGAGATAAGCAGCGCGTGGGCTCCTGCCAAAACAGGACCGAACTTCCTCCTTGGAGAAGTAAAGCGCGTGCAGCGGCACTGCCTGCCCAGGCCAAGCACAGGCAGCGGGCTGGGAGGGTTTTCCCAAACCTGTCCAACAGTTAGAGTAGAGAGGGAGGCAGGGAGGGAGGGAAGGATGGGGACAACCCACGCTCCCTGCCCAGGGGCCGCGCCGCCTCCTCCCGCACGCAGCGCACCTGGCCGGGGATGCTGCGGGTCCGGAGCGCCGCCGCCCTCCCTGCGCCCTCCCGGGACGGGCGGCGTTGTCTCCGCTGCTATCTCCCCGGGCGGCAGCGGCCGAGGGATGTCCCTGCGGGAGGCGCGGGCAGACACGGGGAAGGGAGCGGCCGGGACACCCCGCACCGGACCCGCCGGCCGGGCTGGCTGCGCGAGGATCGCCCGGGTGTCCCTTCCCGACAGGGACTGCATCCCAGCCGCCGCCTCGCCCCGCTGGAGGGTCGCTTCGAGGCGCGGGCACTTTACCTGTCTTTTGAGACATAATCTTGATCTCCACCATCATCACTTTTAGTTTCTTTTTTTTTTTTTTTTTTTTTTTTTTTTTTTTTTTTTTTTTTTTTTTTTTTGAGACTTCCCGAGTTAAATAGTAACAGGTCTGGGCAGGTTGTGCTGAGCGCAAGAGAGAGCGCGATTGTTAAAGAAGAAAGAAAAAAAGTTACTTACCCGATCTTGATATACACAATCCCCAGGCTCAGGAAGATGTGGAAGATCCAGCGCCTTGTTTTCCTGTTCATATTCCTAGCTTGCCGTGCCTCAGACCAACACGCGAAACGATGCCCGGCGCGCTCGGGGCCGGGGCCGCTCCGTCCCTGGCGGTCACGGCCGCCCGGCCGAGCGGGGCAGCCCCCGCCGCGCCCCGCGGCTCCGCGCCGAGCCCCCGCCGCCTCTCAGCATGGCCCCGCCGGGGCTCCGCTCCGCCCGCGCTGCCGGCCCCGCTCCGGCCGCGGCCGCTGTCCGGGGAGTGCGGGGCTGCGGGGCTGGACGGGCTGCGGGGTCCTGCGAGCGTCAGCCGCGTCCCCACCTTCAGTGTCAATTGGCTCTCTCTCTTCTTCACACCTCCCCCCCCCCTTTTCTTTTTTTCTCTCTCTTTCTCTCTTTTTCAGATACTTGGGCGTGTTCTCCAAAGGAGGGAGTTGTCCAGCCGGGTGGGGTAAAGCGAGGCGGGGAGGTGGGCAGGAGGGGAACCACGAACGGCAGAAGGATCACCTGCCTGCAGGCAGGCTCAGCGCGATCCTCCTCCCGCGGGCACGGCCCGGGGGAACTCGGCGGGGGCTCCGGGGGGTGTCACCGGGGGACGCCCCCGGGGCTGGCCCCGGCCCGCCGGGCGGCATTGGGGGCCCGCACCCCGCGCAGCTCCGCGCCGGCAGCGGGGCCACAGCTTTGACTCCGCGCTCGCCGCCCGCTCGCCGGGGCCGCTCAGCACCTGGGGCCGGTTTTATGCGTTTGTCCCGACGCTCCTCCCCCCGGTCTGCCTCCCGCGTGTCGCGGGCTGTCCCGCAGCCTCCCGGTCCCCGCGCCGAGATGAGCCCCGGGCGGCTGCGGCACCCCCGGAGCGCCGCCCGGCCCGCATCGGGGGGAGAGGCGGCACCGGCAGGTGCGGAGGGGGCCAGGAGGGAGCCCCATGTGTCCGCAGCGAGCTCCCCGCCGGTTTTGTGGCCGGTTCTTCCAGTGACAGGGCAGGGCTCGGTCCCGTGGCAGTGGGCTCACGTCGATGTCCGCGCTCCAAGCCCACTCCGGAGCCGGCCTGGGGGCTGCGGCCGCCCGAGAGCTCCGCGGAGCCGCCTGCCTGCGGCGGTGGGGGCCGGGCCGGCCGGGAGGAGGATCCCGGCTCCTCGTTGCGGGAATTTACACGGATATGGTGACTTATTTTATTATCCACTTAAAATATTTCAAACAGGGAGGTTACCTAAATGATAACAGGGGTGTGGTGAGGGAATTGTTCTGCTGATAATGTTTTTCTGAAAACAAAAGCATTGATGACAGGATCCCTCAGGGTCCCTCGGAGGAGCCGGGTCAGAGCCCCCCGAGGAGCCGGCCTGGAGCCCCTCTCGCGGGGCAGCGGCCGCGTCTCCCCCGCTCTCCCGAACCACCCCAGGGAGGTCCAAGCGAGGCGCAGCCGGTCCCGGGGATGGGCCAGGTCCGTTCCTGCCGAGTTCCCGGGACAGGGAAGGGGTGTCCCAACCCAGCTCTCCATCGCTCTGCGTTCCCAGGTGCGGCGGGCGATTCCCATCACCTTGGCGCCCCGCAGCCCCTCCGTGCGGCCGGGCCGTGCTCCCCACGGGGGCCCGGAGCCAGCGGGCGGCCCGGGCCCGGGCTGGAGCGAAATGAGGGGGGTTCGGAGAGTGCGGGGTTCGGAGAGTGCGGGGTGTAGGGCGCAGCATTTCGGGGGGCTCAGGTGAGGGGTTCGGGGTTCGGGCTCGGTTCGGGTGCGGGGGAGCCCCGAGGCACACGGGCAGCGCCCGCCGCAACCTCTTTGTCAGAGCGGCACCTGGTGGGAACGGGCGGAACTGCAGGTGGGCAGGGGGGAGAGGGAACCGGAGAGGGGGAGAGGGAAAGGGAGAGGGGGAGAGGGAGAGAAGGAAAGGGGGAAAGGCAGAGGAGGAGAGAGGAAAAGGGAGAGAGAAGAGATGGAGATGGCAGGGTGCGGGGAGAGGAGAGAAATGAAAAGAGAGAGAGGGGAGAAAGGAAAAGGAAGAGGGAAGAGAGGAAAAGGGAGAGAGGGGGAGAGGATGGAGAGGGCAAGGTGGGCAGAGAGGGGAGACCAGGCAGCAGTGGGAAGCCCTCGGCACCTCCATGGCATTTGGGGCGGTGGGAGCAGCTGGCCCGAGGCTTTTGCAGCCTCCAGTGCAATAAAGGCTCCCAGTCCCGGAGCACAGCCAGCACCAGGGATAAAGGGATGGGCCAGAGCTCATCGGTGCGAGTAGAGGCCAGCAGGTATGGATGAGAACAAATTCAAGGTTGAAGCAGGTCCTCTTTGGGTGGCGAGATCCCCCAGCAGGGTGAAGTGCCATTAGGAGGCAGCAGAAAGGCCGCGGTGTTGCAGCAGGGGGGAACACGCTGTCGGTGCTGACAGAGCTGTGCTACAGTCCCGTGCCACGAGCAGGGCAGCAGGGACGGCCGGGCAACAGCCAGAGCTTCGGGAATTTGGGAGAGCTGCCCTGCCCACACACCACAAGGTCCTCCAGCAAACATATCCACAGCTTTCTATGCTTCAGTTTTCGTTTTTTTTATTTTTTTATTTTTATTTCTGATGCTGAAGCTAGTGATGATCGGTATAATTCAGCCTCAGCACAGCACACGGCTATGGGACAGATCAAAGGTGAGCAAACTACTGTCCTGGGGTTCAGAAAGAGTGGAAAATGGCAAACCTTCCTGAGAAAATAACTTACTGGATAATCAATGACTTTCTCTTACGCTGTTCATTCCTAAAAAAGTTGTGACCTAGATGCATTTGAAGCATACATAAAATAACATTCCTGTGCAGATTACAGGAGGTAGTTTGGCATGTTTGGCAAAGTTTCTTGGGCTTTTTAGTCATTTTCAAAATGCTGTAGACCTTAAATCATCCTTTCAACCATGATGTCTTTTGAGCGGTTTATAGTAACTAATCATTACCTACCATTACAGGGTCTGCATATCCAGCTTCCTTTTTCACACTGTCTTCATATTTATTACTTGTAATAAATAGAGTTTAATATCTGCATAATAAAGTCAATACGAGGCATTGTGATAAAAGATTCTACTTCTCTTTAGAGAAGAGTAATAAGTTACAGGCAAGTTTGTAAATTAACACAAAACTTAGAACAACAATTAGAGATTAATGACAGAACAGTAGTAATCAGGAAATTGCCTGTGGCAAGAGAAATTAACTCCAAACCATGGTCATAAAAGGATTTAAGAGAAATCCCAGAGCTCGTGGCAGGAGGAGGTTTGGCTCTGCTGCTCCTCCCAGCGCCTACAGGGGAAGGCTGGAGGGGACTTTTCACAAGGGTCAGGGGTGACAGGACCGGGGAGAATGGCCTTAAGCTGAAGTAGGACAGGTTCAGATGGGATTTTGGGAGGAAATTCCTTCCTGTAAGAGTGGTGAGGCCCTGGCACAGGGTGCCCAGAGCAGCTGTGGCTGCCCCTCGATCCCTGGAAGTGTCCAAGGCCAGGCTGGACAGGGCTTGGAGCAGCCTGGGACAGTGGAAGGTGTCCCTGCCATGGCAGGGGTGGCACCGGATGGGTTTTGAGGTTCCTTCCCACCCAAACCATTCCATGAATCCATGATTCCCTGGTGCCTGGCAGTTTCTGATTATGACCAGAGCCATGGGGCTCTCCTGCCTCTCCTGAGATGCTCAGTGCTGTGACAAACATACCCCAAGCAGAGCAAATAGTTTTATTCCAGATACAATCTCTCTGCTCTCACCTTTTACTACCCACATCTTTATTTAGAAGCAGCAACTTTCTTCTGAACAAAGCCTGGGCCCAAGCTGCACCCTAGAGCCATCCATCACTTGTTGCCACAATGGTGTTTCTATTGTTAATTGTTTGTCAGGGCAGCTTTTTGGGGTTAGACAGTACAGTGATTTAGTGTGGCAGCTAATCAGCTCTGAAAATGTATTCTCAAAATAAATTAGATTAAGGAAAAAAAAAAAAAAAAAGAAGCTTGAAAAGTCTCTTGGTGATACAATCCTTTGGGACTGCTGAGCTCCCTCCCAGCTGAGTCCAGGAGCTGCAGAGGTTCAGTGCTGCTCTGCTCCCAGCATGGACATGGAACTGGGTGAGGAGGCTTGCACAGCCCATGCTGCTCAGTGTGTGGTTCTGGTCAGAGTTATTAATGGCTCATTTTTCATAAGCATAAAGAAATACAAGAAACATGAAAAAGAAGGGCTGCCCATCTTTTTTTCTTTTTCTTTTTTTCTTTTAAGATGGCCTCTGATAACAGGAATTCACAAGGGAAAATGTGGTTAAAAGCCCATTTTGTAACTAGATCCTAGATGCACATATCATCAATACTCCAACTCTGGCTCCCTTTTATCAGGCTAATCATAGCTGCACTGTTTTGTTGTCAAAACATCTCCTGTAGAAGTCAGACCAGAGAGTCCTTTCAGTAGCAAAAATGTGAGGTTAATATACCAACCCTCCCTGTATTAAGAATCTCCTGCCTCCTAAAAGTGCATGGAAAAAAAGATACAATAAATAAATAAATTACATTTACAAAGCCAGGTAATTTCCTGGGCTCTTCTCAGCCTGCTCCTGATATATCCTACCATCAGCAGCCACAGTGACTCCTCAGTTTCTAGCTGTACCCGTGGAGAAGGAGCAATGAAGAGGCTGCAGAGCTGCTCCCTCGGTGAATTCCACGAGGGGCAGAGCCAGGCACAGTGAATTCGCCTGCCCTGCCTGCAGGACTGACTACAGCACCTTCCCTGCTGTGTTTGGGATCCTCATGGCAATACAAAGGTGCCACATGCCCTGTTGTGATTGATCACTTTCCAATCAATTGATTTGGTGACACAAACCCTGGCGAGCTCAGGCCAGCGGTCAGTGTGACACCCCTGAGAGGGCAGCTCTGACCCCCAGTCCCACCCAGGGGAGCTCCAGGAGGGCCCCCAAGCCAGGCACAGGGACACACCACAGTTAATGCAGCCAGGGAGAGGAAGGAGTCTGGGAAAGCACAGGCGCCTGGGACCTAAATACCTGCAGCTTCATCTAATTAGCAACTGATGGGCTCAGACGGTTGTGAGTGTGTGTGATGAGGAGGGGGATGGATGATCAGAAGCCAGTAGAAGATTTGGGATGAGGAAAGAGGTGCTCTGGTTGGAGCATTTAGGTTTTTACTGGCTGTTGAGTGGTGCA